AAAGATTTCCAGGGATGCTTCCAGGCTTGGCAGCGGCGCTGGGATCGTTGTGTTCACTCCCAGGGGAACTATTTCGAGGGTGATGGATGAATTTAATACCTGAGATAAGTGTACGGGTTTTTATACGCGCAGTCTTGAAACTTTCCGATCGCACCTCGTATATACTAAATAAAAATTACCAAGTCGGTTATAAACATACACAAGCAAAAACTAAGCTATTATATATTTTTATGTTATTAAATTTATGTGCTCCCTGTAAATACAGCTGTTTTTGGTTTACACAAATTTTCACTTTAAATTTCGTTATTTACAGTAGTTTGCTATTTGGTATATTTCCAAATGTGAACCGATGCTTATGAAGAATAGCAGAAACGGAATAGTTGTTCACCCTGTTGACGGAGCATAAGAACTGAGTACTTTCTTATATATTCCATAATATCATTTATAAAAGTGTTAAACAATTATGGGCTTAAACTTCACCTTGGTTGACCACCCTTGATTAACAGAAAGCCCTGATATAACATTTGAAAATGTGGCGAAGTTCAAGTACTTACGATACACAATAAGGCTTTCACAATTGTCGATGGTCACATTAATAGCAGATTCAATTTGCATATCGTTTACTGTCGTTAAATTCAAAATGTTACAAATCTCCCCGTCGCTGTCTGAAAACATACAAATTAAAATGTTCAAAATTCTAATTTCATCTCTCTTTGTGAAGGGAGGGACAAAGTGAATATTTGAAATAAAAATACAAAAGTATCGTGAATAGTTATAAAATTACAAATATGAGCCTCACGTCGTACACACTTGTTACATTATTATTGTTATTAACAAAGTAATTTAACTTATTATTATTATTTAGTATTATTTATTTTATTTGGAATTATTAAATTGAATTATATTACTTAGGTATCGTATTTAGCCCATTTATTTGTGAAATATGATTCAATAAATGAATCTAATTATTATTATTATTAATATGGTACATTTATATATTTAGTTTCATTTGTTTGTTTTACTTTTATTATTATTTAAATAAATTAATTACTTATTATATTTTATCCTGTACTCTGGTTTAGTGCTTGGCTGTTATTGGCCATTTTGGCTATTGTCAAGCACTTAAATAAATGAATTGAATTGAATTGAATTTTAAGGGCAATTAACAAAAACGAATCGACCGAGAATCTAGGACGCGTGTGATAAATAATTTCGCACAAAATTTTTAACTTAAACCTCAATGTGAAGGATGTCCCGTGAATTATAGGCACAGATTCTAATGAAATATTAAATTATAATAAAATATTTTTTTTAAGCCATGAACTTCTGTCACGTGATCTGGATACACAGGCCCAATTTACCTTCATCACATTTCATATTGAATAGCATCGTCTCCAGTCAACTACACATGTGCGCTGTTTGCAGTAAATCATGTTCAATTTGCTTTTGTTGTTCAAGTGACAATAGCGTTCAGCCACAAACAACTAAATCATAGCAACTCGGGGTTTTTACCAAACGGTCTTCGTGCAGAGTCTGGCCGTCGGTTCAACCCAAAAGGTTTTACTATACAAACTGCTAGCTGCATCACTGTTTGATGTTCCCGTCACTCTGGGTCTCGAATGCCAGTATTGTGTGTTCGAATCTCGCCCTGGGCGTAGTCCTCGCGGAAATGATGTGGAGGCTTCAAGGCAGGTTGTGTTGGAACACGTGTGTGACATCTTCTACCTCAAGCTTCCCGGTTTGGCATCAACGCAAGTGCCATCCACTAAGGGCGATATCGCACTAGGATGCCAACGGGAGGCCATGGCGCAGCTGCCAGCATCTCGGCCAAACTCAATGC